TCAGCCACACAGGTTCCCTCCAGGACAGGAGGATTCCAAGCAAAGTGGATTGTGGAGGGTTTTTCTTGAATTCTTTCTGCACTGTGACTCTAAAATTACCCCTGGTCAAGCGTGTCTTTGCTTGGGGCTGATGATAAAGAGCGAATAAGACTCACAGAACTTTGCCTGTTTGTTGAGGATGTGTTGGAAGTTGAGCCTAGGTGAAATGTGATGCAATATTTTTTTTTTCCACCTACTCATTGTGTTGGAGTAGTTTTGTTAATTCACATGTTGCTTTTAATTGATGAACAATTAGATGGTTCTGGCTATGGACGTGCCAATCCTGCAGCTTTGTCCCTCACTTCAGCTCACTCCTTGTAAGACTTTCTTCTTTTACTGAGTGACTCAGGTTAAATTTCCATTAATTTAATGAAATTAATAGTCTAATTTAATATAACTAATAATTATTTAGTAGCTGTTTAGCACTGCTTAATGCAGAAAACCTGGCATCTTTAAAAAATGAACCTAATACAAAGCATAGGTCATAATTATTTGTGTACTTTTAGACTGGAGGTGCCTGAACATTCTGGTGTAGTGTCAAAGAATCAAAACCTGAATTAAATTAGTAACAAAATAACTAATTAGATAATTTTGATAGTGAAACTAATTAGATAATTTTGATAGTGACTGTGTACCTGGCAATGTGTTGTCTCACCATTGGCCTGGGTTTTAATTGAAAAAAGGCTCTTGGCACTGAAAGACCTTACAGAGCTGGAAGGGTTGGTAATGAGGAACCAAATTAAATCAGAAGTCAGCTTTTTTCCAAATTTAAAATCTTTCTAAAGTTAATTTGGATTAGTTCATCCACCCACTTGTTTAACTTGTGATTCTTGTTGAAATAGAATCAGCACAGAATGGTTTGGGTTGGAAGGGACCTCAAAAATTGTCCCATTTCACCCTGCCATGGGCAGGGACATTTTTGTCTACCCCAGGTTGCTCCAAGCTCTGTCCAATCTGTCCTTGGACACTTTGGGGGATCCAGGGGCAGCCACAACTTTTCCTGGTAATCGATGTCAAGGCCCCATCACTGTCTTGGTAAAGAATTTCTTCATCAGTATCCTAAATTAAATAAAAACTACTCTGAGTGGAAGGCTGGAATACTGGTGAAGGTCATCAATCGACTTTGCATTCAATAAGACTTTTCTAAATTTTTTCCACCTGAAGAAAACTACTTCTTAAAAATAAATAAATAAATGAATAAAAGATCTGACAACATTTTTGATGGTAAATCAAAAGAGGTAAATCTGGAACTTTCAGTGCCTCCTTTAAGATCTTCCTCTCCTCAAAAAACATCCCTCCTCCTGTAGATTGCCACTAGAATTTGAGGTATTAGAAAATTAGAAAATTCCCTTTGTTGACCTCACTGAAAGGAGCCCTCCTGCTTGCTGTGATATCCCAAAGAAAACTGATCCCAAAGAAACCCAGCCCTGATAAGGAAGGAGAGGAAAATGTGTCACTGCCGTGGCTCAGAGGGGGAATAAGTGAAGGATGGAGAGCCGTGGCTTGATGAGCTCGACTTCTCCAGCTGACTGAGCACACAGAGCAATCACTGAGCAGTGCCCAGAGTCCTGATTTTCCCCTCCCTCAGTGGAATTTTTAGATGGATATGACCCTGCCATCCTCACTGAAATAATGCCTCACTTATCAAGCTGTGGCTGGGAGGATTTTGTGCTCGGAATGGAACAGCTCCTGCTAAAACGCGAATGGGAAAAGCCATTTTTTGCCAAGAGGAGGAATAAATATGAAATTTTTAATATTCAAATGAGGATATAGATTGATTTTCTTCAGCAAATGGAGCATCCCCACCCATTTTTTATAAACTGTCATTTCAGAAAAATCACAATTTGTAAAGAAATTATAGTGTGCTTCTCATTTAAACACAATACTTAAATATTTACACTAAATAAACACAAGACCTTCACAGCCTATTAAAGCAGAAATAATTCTGCTGCCACAGCAATTGTGTGAGGAGTTTCCATTGAGAAATGATAAAAATCTCCCTGTTTTGGTTCTCTTCAAAACAATATGGATAATTTTCTTCTTTCACAAGCGATTTTGCTGTTGAGATGTTTCTCACAATGGCATGGCTGGATTCACACCTGCCCTGAAGGAGTTCCCCCCCAGAAATGCCCCCACAGCTGCACTTTCAGCTTGTGTTTAACACAGAAGGTTATGTAAAGTATGATGTGATAATAATGTGACTTTTTAAATCCTAAATGATGATATGGCAGCACTTTTTTTAGTTATTCCTTCGGTTAGTTTTTCCTTAGATTATTATCTCCGAATTTTTACATTTACCTGAAATTGTAGATTCAATATTAACTTTCAAAACCCCTGGTTTTAATTTTTAATACATTGCACAAAACCCAAGAAGGGGAATGACTCAAGACTTGTCCTTGACAATAGTAAATATTTTTTATTGCTTTTATGATTTGAATATTCCTAATGATTTAGAAATCTGTTCTGATGTTATTCTGGAAGAGGCCAGATGGCCAAATAATGTGTAGTATGTAAATTAAATCAGCAGACTGATCAAAATACTTATCCAAATACAAATATAGGCTGTGACAATAATTCCACAACCATTTTCAAAAGATAAGAAAAAGAGTGCCAAAAACTGTGTTTTGGGTATTTCTTAAAATTGCATTAGTGGTTTTCAGTGGAAGGAGCATGGAAATTGATGTCTTGTGAGATAGAGGGAAGTATCTACATAACATAGAAACATAAATGTTATTAATTATTCAATTCTTTAGTAATGAATATTTCAGTACTGGTTTTTTATGTTGGGTTGAAGGGGTGGGGTCTGTGCTTGGCAGTTCTGTCCTGTGCCAAAAGTGCAGGAAGTGTTCTGTGGATGTGAGGTTTTCCAGACTTTCTGCTTTAAAAGTTGTTCCCAAACGCTGCCATCAGCAAAGCAGCCCCAGCTCCTGTTAAACCAGTCAGGCCAGTAATGAAAACCAGTTCATAAATGTCCAGGCAGTCCCTGAGTAAACTGGAACTGGAATTAGGATTAATGATATGCCAAAAAGAAGTAAACCCAAGTGATTGTGGGTTCACATTATTAGAATTGTTTAGGGTCTCCCATACAGTTCTTTCCTTCCAAATTGCCAGCTTTAATTTTATTGTGCAAAGGAATATTGCTGAGTCCCAAAAATCTGTGTAAAATGAGGTTTTCCTGGAGCAAGAGGCCTCATCTCATTTTATCTCTCTCTCATTCTCTCCAGCAGATCATTGGAGATTGTTCTTGATTTGCTCTTGCCAGAGATTGTCCCTCTTTATTAATATAATAATACTGAGATTTAATTAGACCACATATTTTATTTCACTTCCCATCCTGTCAGCAACAAAAGGTGCAAGGAGAGCAGACCATAAAACATGTCAGCTTGTGGAGGGGGTCATTCCATCAGCTCTGCTCCGAGGGCACGGAGCAAGGTTATGGAAAATGGGCAGCACAGAGGAGGAGGGAATCATGGATATTCACATATTGGCTTAGATCTGCCCCTCTTTAATTCAAATTTTATATAGTGAGACTAATCCTGGCCTCTTTAGCAAATGCTCTGTGGAGAGCAGGATCCTTCCCATGTGGAAATTTGTCCCAAGGAAGGAGTTTAAGTGGCACTGAAGTTTGGTGGCAATGGCTTGGGTGACAGTAATGCCTTACAAGGTTTTTTACCTCTAGGTCACCACTCCAAATCCAGTCCAGGTCATTACTGACACAAAGTCATTATCATCTCATGAATGTCATCAAATGGCACTCCAAATGTTAAGTATCCCATTCTGCAATTGAGACATGAGGAATCTTTCTGTCAATTTTCTGGACGATCAGTGAATCGCTCGTTGTGTCACTCTTCACCCGTAGCCTCTCCTTTATCACATCCAATAAAAGCCATCACCTGCCAAGGGTGGTCGATATCTCATGGCTAACCTGCCATCCTCATTTGCTGTAGGATAGCCTGAATAATTTATTTGGTGTGTGTCCAATGTGATTTTTGTCCTGTCATTGTCTCACATTAACATTTCCCCTTACTTGCTCCACCGTGGAGGTGATTTAGTCTAGTAGGTATTTATTGCTGAAGGGTAAATAATTAAAATGTGCTTTTTCATCTCTGTGTTTTCTGTTGTTATTTGCAGAGGTGGCTGGAGGACAGTGTTGACTTTACCAATGATATCATGTCCATTTTATGTTTCAATACACAGCTATTTATCCAGTTCCAATAATGCTAAAATTTCAAAACTGATGCAGGAAAACCTTATCAATAAAACAGAATTAATTTAGAAGAAAGGTTTTTTTTTTGGTGTCATGCCCCCCAGTATCCTTCTGGATCTAGTCTTTTTGAAGAAGGATGAGGAAAGGTTTTTCAGTGCTGGTCAGGATGGGGATTTCTTCCTTTTCTGTTCTGTGTACATCTCTATTATCATTTACTTTAAGTCCTTTTACCCCTTTATTATTCGTTGCTGCATGTCAGTTACATTTGGAAAACTTCCAACAGCTCCTCCAGCCCAGCGAGGTGTGAAGGACAACCTCCTGTGACCTGGTGGCAACCTGAGCCTGTCAGACCTTGGCCACGTGCAGACTTCAGAGAGCAAGGAGAGGTGAAGCATTTGCTGACCAGGGCTGAGGTTTTAAATAACACCAGCCCTGCTGGAACAGTCTCTTCTGAAGCTGGAGTCCTTTGTGAGGGTGACCCTCCTTTGGGCCAAGAGGTCACTCTCCATTGCATAAAGAAGAAAAAAAAACCGGACAGTTGGAGAGAACAGTGAGGAGGAAGCCAAGGAATTGTCAAAATGTCTTTAGGATATGAGCAAATTATTACTTCTTAATGTGCTTAAAAGACACAGAACTGAAATGAAAACCAGTAGGTTGGTTTTTTTCAGATAAAGTAGAAAGAGTCTGTGAAGGTTTTCTTTCTCTTTTTCTCCTTTTTTTTTTTTTTTGACCCAAAAGTTCTAAAATATTTTTAAATAAGATTGCTCTCTGCAGACTTATTTTTCCGATTCCCTCTCAGCGCTGTTTCTACAAAGGCTTGTGCTGATGCCACTGGAACTTTCATAGCCAGCCTGCTTTTCCCCATCCAAAGTGCAAGCAAGGCTGAAAATGGAGAGCTATTAAAAGCCCAAAAGTTCCAAATCCAGGTGGAGAGTGGTGTGTCAGCTGCTGGGGAGGAAGGACGTTTGAGGTAAGCGGGTGCTTCCCTCATCATTTAGAACAAACAAGGTTTAAAAGTCAAGGGCAAGACCCCTGTGCAAAGGGATGCTCAGGGAATCATTTCTGAGGCCAATTGTGCATGTAAAATAAGGTTAAACCTGTGCACAGCTCGGGCTGTGGGTGACAGCTCCCATCCAAGGGCAGAGGTGCTGCTGTAGGACCAGCACATCCATGGAATAAAGAGTGCTCAGCTGCCTTTTTCCTTTTATCCACGTGGGTTTGCTCCAGCCCAAAAGGAGAAGAGTGCATGGACTGGAACAAACTTCTCTGGCTTCAGGAAAACACACAGGAAGGAAAGAAACCAACCTGGCTCAGCAGTAAAACCCAGGAAATTACAGATTTTTGGGCTGGCAATGCTGAGGAATGCACAGCAGGTAAAGAGGAGGGAGCAAGATTTACCTGGACACATCTCCACTGAAGTTTCCCTTTTGTAAAAGGAAATTAAAGCAACAATGATAATTAAAAAATACTTTGGTTTTTGAAATTACACTGGTTTCTGCTTCCAGGTTGTGTAAAACTGTTGAAAATCAGCTTGTCCTGCAGAACAGGTGGGTTCCATTCTATTCATTGTGATAACAGGAGGGAATCTGATGTCCCCATTACCTCAGTTTCCCTCTCAAGGAGCCAGTCTCAGACAAACTCTGCTAACAGTGAAATGTGATTAGAAGCTCTGCTAGGTCAGAGCAATCTTTCTTCCTCAAATGTGAAAATATTTTCTTATTTAAAAAACTATCAGTCACCAGCTTTTCCAAACCATCTTCCTAAAGAAAAATAAATTAAATAAATTTGAAATTACTTAGGAAAATCTTGTGGGAAACTGCATCCTATGGTCCACATGCAGAGATCTCAGTGTCTCTTGCAAATCTTTTCTATTTTATATATTTTTAAGGCACGACTCCTTTTGGTTTATTTTGTTTTTACTGCTACATCGCCTTCTAAGAGGTTTTATATATATAAAAGAATGGAAATACAGGCAGCAGCTGAAGCAGTTTCCAAGGAAAGGTGAGAGGAGGATGATTTACTGAGGACTGTAATGAGAAATAGACTCTCAGTTTCATAAATTCAGAGTAAGTCCTGGCGCATCTCCCTTAATTGATGTCCTCTCCTGAAGTGCCACGCGACTCAGAGTCCATCCACCAGGGAAAACACATGGATTGCACCGGGTTATTTAATAATGCAGGCAGAGAGGAGGGAAAAATCACTGCAGGCAGAGAACTGCTCACAGCTCAGGCCTGAAATCCCCAAAAATGAATGGCAAAGTCCTGCCCTCCCTGCGATCCAATCGGGAAGATGAGTAGTCCTGCACAGCTCTTCTCACTAGATCCCGAGCAGCACTGAGGAATTATTGATGGAGATATCCATGGACTGCAAGATGAGAGCCTTGGAGGCAGAACGAGAAGGTTCTTTTAACCCAGGAATTGCTGTTGCCTGTTGGAATCTCCAGGAAAAGCGAGTGTGGTGGAAGGTGTTTGATTCCGCGCTGCCGATCAGAGGAAATGTGACAGTTTGCCTTGGGAATGCTCTCTGGAATATTTTTTCACATCGTTGAGAAGCGTTTTGCCTGAAGGTGTGAATTTCAAATTGTGCACTAAGGATCTGGAGATGTGGTGCTGGGTCTCGGGAAAAAGGGAAGAAAAGGGAGAGAAATCCAGTAATGTAGATAAATAGACGAAAATGAGATCTACATGAGAGGTTTGATTAAATTTGGAATTGGCTGCTGGACCAGAAAGATAGAGCTAAGTAAAAGCATGGAGTTAACTAAGGGAAAAATGAGTTTGGAGCAGGAGCAGAACTCAAATTCATCTTTGCCAGCGAGGCAGGAAGCTGGAGTGACCTTGAGAGCGGCTGTGAGTGCCGTGCACGTGCGAGCCCTGCGGCGGCTCCAGAGAACCCTTCACAAAGGCAGCTCTGATGTTCATTTTGGTGCATTTAACACAGAGCTGCCATGGACCATGTGTGGCAATTAAGTCTGTAACTCAGCCTGCTGAGAAACCAAAGAACTGGCAGGGAAACTCAGGCTCCTGAGGCCAGCATGGTTTTATATCTGAAGTGGCCTCAGTCTCTTCATGGTGCAGGAGAGGTGGATGTGTCGTTAGATGTAGATTAGTAGGTGACAGCCTGGATTTAGGAGTGTTTTTTACAAATAGGGGAATTCTTCCTGGCCATCAGGAACCATTTCTTCATGGAAAAGTGTTGTTAAACATTGAAAGAAGCCACCCAGGGATGTTTGGAGTTCTCATCTTTGGAGGTGTCCAAGGAATGCCTGGACACTGCACTAACTGCTCTGGGCTGGTGACAAGGCAGGGATCGGTCACAGGCTGGATTTGATGGTCTGGGAGGGCTTTTGCAGCCTCAGTGATGGTGTGATTCTGTGACAGGGCCTTGGTCAGTGGTGATAAAACCAGTGGTGACAGTTTTAGGGTCTCTGAATCAACAGATGGATAAGTTACTGCTGTGTCATGGCCAGAGCTTGTCCTAAAGCTTTTGTACTTCTGGTCTTAAAAAATCCCAGACATGTCACTGTCCTGCTCAGGAACACTTCCCACTAACAAGACACCCAGCAGTGCCTTCCTGCAGGTATTTTCCATCATGCTGATCCTCTGTGGGCTCATTTTTCTGCTCCTATGACCTATTTTTATCTTTTCTGTCCAGTCACAGCCACTTCCTCTCCTTGTTTTAAGATCCTATTCTTTCTGTCCAGACTCTCTTTCTAAAATTTTTCTCCCCTGCTAGTTAACTGTAATTATACAGCTTTCTAATGAGTTTTTATTCATTTAAATGTGCTTTATGTGTTTTACAGCAAACCCCCTGCTGGTCTAATTTTATATAGTGTATTTAATTGAGACCCCTTTTGCAAGTACACAGTTTGTGTGTGGTGAGCAGGGCCCCCAACCATAAATTCTGCTTTATTCCCACTCTTCTGATTAGATTTTTATTTGCATTACATTAATGCTTTTTTTTCCCCCACTAAAATCCTGTCACGTACATTTTAACCACTCCAGCAAATTAATTCTTGCTATATTTAATGCCATACAGAGAAACGCCTTTATGGAGCTTCTAATTGTTAATTTCAAGCATTCCAAAATTAGTTCCCTTTTATTAATTGGGGAGTCACTGCATTCTGGAGAAGACAGAAAGCTCTCTCACAAGCCACATTAACTGGACAGATGTTCTGAAATATGTTAAATATTACCCAGTGAGTGGTGATACAGTTCATCAATCATGTCAGTGCCACAGCCACTCTGGGATCTGGTGTGGGGTAAAGGTGCTGGGAGGGAGGCAGTGTCAGCAAGGATGAACTGACACCACAGACAGCAATTTTATGTTTAGGGCAAAGAAGGAAGAAAATCATAATTTAAAATAACTGGAAAAATGTCATTATCCCCAATAGAGAACTATAGAATGGTTTGGGTCATCAAATTCCAACCCCCTGCCGTGGCAGGGACACCTTCCACTACTCCAGGTTGTTCCAAGCCCCATCCAGCCTGGCTTTGGGCACTTCCAGGGATCCAGGGGCAGCCACAGCTGCTCTGGACACCCTGTGCCAGGGCCTGCCAAGCTTCACAGGGAAGAATTCTTTCCCAAAATCCCATCTAAATCCACCATCCAGCTCAAAGCCATTCCCCCTTGTCCCATCACTGGACAACATTGAATGGAAGCTTGCAATGCTCAACAGTGCCATGAGAAAAGAGGGAACTTGATTTGGGTTTCACTGGTGGTTTGGGTTTCACTCTTGGTTTGGTTTTCATTCTTGGTTTGGTTTTCACTCTTGGTTTAGGTTTCACTGGTGGTTTGGGTTTCACTCTTGGTTTAGGTTTCACTCTTGGTTTTCCCTGGAGCTCAAACACTTTACAAAGAGTCAGGATCATTTTATGAGTGCCAAACGGAAAGTTCAAGCAAAGCAAGAGCTGTCCAGGCAAAGTTTTCCTGAATATATCGACTATGTGGTAAGAGGCAGATCAAGACTTTCTTTCCAGAGTGGTCACCAAAAGTAACCCACCTACCTCCTGGCAACAGTTCATTAACTGGGTCATCTCCACCCCTCTCTTCAAACAGATCTTATCAGCAGCACATCTGATGGGATAAGAGTGTCTTGGGATGTACATTTACATACAGAGAGATAAAAAGGCTTACATAACCCTAGGAGCAGAAAATACATCTCCCCCAGGGAATTGCCAATGTTCCCTTGCTAAATCCTGCATAATGGGGTTTTCCTGCCGTGTCAGCAGCTCCATGACAATAAAGCCAATGGCACAGGTATCCTGAGAGCCAAGTTCAACGACCACGGGGCAAGAAATGCCAAGTTCCCTTCCTTTTTCCAGCTAGATGGATGAGGTTTGAGCAAAGAATAAAATCTCTGCATTATGGCTCTTAACTAACCCATTCAAAATAGCCCCGGGAAAATATCCGGAGCTCTTTGTTTTAGAGCAGGGTGTTCAAGACTTATTTAATCTTTTTCAAACACGTGGCAATAAAATGGAATTTTCTGAGGCCTTCCAAGAACCCAGTCAGGGCACATACTGACAAAATCCCAAGTGTTTAAAATCAAGAGCACTCCAGCAATTAAATTTCAGTTTTCAGGTGCTGGGTGTCTTCGGCAAGCCTGCTTGCTGAGTCAGCACCTTTGATTTCGTCCTCCCTCATCCAGGTTTTCCATAGGATTTGAACAAAGCAGATGGATGTGGTCAGTGGGAGCTGTGAGGGTGGAAGATGAAGCACGGAGAATCAGGAAAGCCACTGGAATCTTTCTCAGCTTTCATATTTATTTCCTGAAATACCTGTCCCCGGTGTGTGTCCTACACTGCTCTCAGGGGGATGGGTTGGGTGGCCTTGGAAAGCAGAACGATCCTAATCGTTCCTAATTTCATCCCACATCTTGGTCCTGAGGACTTCTGTGGAAGTCTTTTAGGAAATGTGGAGCTCAAATGTGGTCATTTGGTGATGGTCAGACCTTACAGTGGACAGGGGTGACCTTATGGACTTTGTGCTTCTCCCAAGGCAAGAACTCTCCATCCGTTCAAGTCAAACTTGCTCAGGATAGAAAAATCTCTCTGAGATTTGTCTATAAAAAACTGAGCAATCAATTCATTCAATCACATCATAGAAAATAAGAAGTTTCTGGTAGTATGAGAACACTTTGATTAGCTGTAAAATCAGCAAAGAAAAACAACTACCTTAATAGTCACAAAATCTATGGAGGTTTATTTTTGCTGTGAGCACTTCAATTTTCTGCAAAAGCCACAAGCAAACAAGACTTTTGAACCATTTCAATCCACTCTAAGTCAGAAAGCTCAGTCTCTGTAGGCATCTCTGTATTTTATTATTGTGTCAAAAATTAGGTGAGAAGGAGAAGCCCGAATGAACAAAAAGCCCATGTGTCTTACATGTTAGAGGAATTATTTTTGCCTGGCTCTAAAGAGGCAGCCCCAAACCCCAGCAGGATTTCAGTGTTAGCTCACAGCAGAGTCAATGTTTGCTCAGTTCTCTCTTCAAACACTTCCAGCATTTTGACCACTCATTTGAAATCCTCCAGCGTTCCTTTGAAGGGTTCTGCTTTCCCCGGGTGTTGAAACAAACATTGGACGTCTTTGTGACTCTTTTCAGCCGGTTTTTCTGCGGTGCCATCCCAACTCTGTGGGATTCCTAACGGGGAAAAAGGATTCAGGACCAGCTTGCACATTGAGTTGTGACGCGCTCGGTATTTGCAGCAACTGGGGAATATTCACTGAGCCCACGTACAGTCCACAGAATCTCCTCTGTGTATGGTTAAATATCATCCAGATCAGAAAATGTTCTCCAAAAGCTCTGCTCTTTGTGTGGGACAGAAGTCCAGAACGCGTAGGAGATGCTCAGAGGAGAGGAAGGACATTGTGGCCATGTCACGACGCGACACAGCAGGAAATTTTTAGGTGTCCAAACAATTTAATAAAGGTCAGCAAGGCCAGAGAAATCCTTGTGCAGTATTTTCATTCCATGCTTTAGAACAGGACTGGAGTTTTACATTTTCCACATTGGAGCAGAGTCCTTTATCAGAAACAGGAATGTTTTGGTCGTGTTTGTACCTAATTTTGATCAGAGCATTTCCCATTCCTGCTGCCAGAAATGTTTTGCTTGCGTGCACTTAAATCAATTTTTGGCAATTCTGACACCACCACCTTCAAAAGCACTGTGAGAGTTTTAATCCAGCAGGATAAAATTGATAACTTTTATAATGACATAATTATTACTGGGAGTATTAAAGAAATTAAGATAATTACTGCATTTCTTTAAGCCAATGTTATTTTTAGCCTTGACTCTACAGTGACACATTGGATGACAGGATCCTTGATATTATTTTAAAATTCAATTGAATATGTAAGCCATTATGTGTGAACTCCCATTCCTGACAGGTTACCTGCCATAGTTTCCTCATTCAAATCCCACTGTAACTTCCAAATTAGTGACTTCACCTTCTCCACACTTGAAATTAAAACCAGAATTTAAATTTCAGAAAGTTTTAGGGGATTTTGGGGGGAGTTTGCCCATTATACAGTTTTTGTGTCCTCTCCATGGACATTAAATATGCTGTTGGGAAGGAGAGAAGTCCTGTGCACACAACAGGAGGTGAGTTCTCCAAAATTGCTCTATTGCCCCACTGGGTTTTTGGGTTACTCATAACATAAATCGCTCCTCCTGTGAGTAAGAGCCTGACTCTTAGTCTGGCACTAATCTGCAATCAAGAAAATCCCTTTGGGCTGGTTCACTTGGGGAAAAGAGATTTGATCATCACCAAAAGTTTAGGAGGGAGTGACCCAGGAAGGCATAAAAAGGGCTCCTCTTAGCTTGGGGTTTCTATTTATAAGTGGATAACTGTGTTAAGCTTTAGACTTTTTTTTATTTTCAGTGAATGGGTATTTGAGGTTCATATCCAGCCCTTTCAGAGCTGTAGAGAAAAGGGAAATAAATCCAGTGGAAACAAATCAAGCAACAATATACATCAAGATATCTCCTCTCAATGTTTTTCAGCTGAAACCCTGCTCTAGGTAAAGTTGTTTACTAATCATGTTTAAAAGATTTTATCTTTAATTGACATTGTTATAATGTAGCAAAATTTTAAAAGTTTATTTTTTATTATTTTTATTGTTATTGTTTATAATGTAGCCAGATTTAAAATGTTTATTAAATCTGTAAAACCTCACATCATTGGGTGACAGGGTTGTGCAAGCAGGATGTGTTCAGCAGTGTTTTTAGGGAAATTCCTGTCAGGAATTCCAGAGTGTGATTCCTACATGGAGCAGTGGGTGCACAGGAAGAGCAGAGCTGGAAAATACTCTCAGGCTCCTGGGAGTTTACTCCAATTTCAGCTCAGCACAAGAGAACTTGGAATTTTCCCTGGGGCTCCCTCTGAGACTGTTATCAACAATGTTCCTGCATGGAAGCACCAAGGAGATGCTGGAGATGTTCCTCCAGCCATGGGCAGGGTGTGTTTTCAGGGGAACAAAATCCAGAAAAAGAACTAAACTGAAAAACCAGAACAGTGTTTATGAAGGGCCTGCCTTTCACAAGCTCAGGGGGAAAATCAGCTGAAAAATTACTCCCCATCTTTCGTTAGCTGGAGTAATGAGGGTGGAGAGAGATTTGGATGTCGCTGCCTAAATCCCAAGGTAATTTATCCAGTGGTTAACAATGTTCAGAGGAAAATACCTCTGGAAAAGCTGTAAATCAAAGCAGAGCTAAGAGGGAAAAGCTGCATATCTCATATAACGAGATTGCTGAATGGGAGTTACAGATGTTTTAGCATAAGTATGAAATGATTGGAATAAGGGAGACATGGCTGAATGAGAAAAGTGGGGATTTAAAACATCAGGAGTTTCTGGGAAGGATGTACAAGATGAAATTGGAGGTGTTATTGGCAAGGGATTATGGAGGCTTGCAGAGAAATGATGGATGTATTTATGTGATATGGCAAAGAGTTTTGCTTTGAAATTAAGAGGAGTGAAAGTGGAGAGGTGGCTTTGGTATTTTGTCTTCAGGGAATGAAAGTCAGGTCATTATTTTAAAATTATATTAAGAAAACAGGTTAGTGCATCAGTTACTGCACAGATACATCAAAATTGATAGTGCATCAATTACTGCTTGATAACGTGTATGTTGATAAAGGAATAAAACTGGAATGTGGATTTGCCCCTGGAATATTCTGTTCACTGGGAATAGCTGTCTGCAAATTTCACAATCCCAAATTCTCAGCTGGTCCTAAATGAGCCAGGTGGGGTGGTTTGTATGGACTGTGGCTGCATCCCCAGGGAATCTCACATCTGGCAGAGCAGGATGGAACACAGGCTCCTGTTAACTGCAGATGAGCTCAGCTTGGTTTGTCTAGGTAAGAAGTTTATCACTTCCTTTGCTTCCCATTTTTCTGTTGGTTCCCCTATTTCTGCATCAGCTCTTCCACCATTTGATTTCCTGGCATCCTGTTTGGTTTTTAAATGGCTCCTAACAGAGCAGGGCATTGATTTCTCCTGTATCTTCTGAATTTCAACTCTTTTCCTGCCTTTTCAAGCTCTTTGTTCATCTCTTTTCCGTGCCTGTGTCACTCTGGCGAAACAACTGCCCCCAAATTAACACCAAAGTCAGCTGGTACCTCCCTGCCCCTAAACCTGCTCTTGTCAGACACAAACTTCATTGTCTTGCTTTGAGAATTAATCTCTCAAAGCACTTTAACTTCTCCTTTTCTTTATTGCTGCTCTCTCTTGCTTATTGTTTCCTCCAATACGCATCAAATTCAAAAATAAAAACCTGAGAGTGGCCTTTCAAGAATTGTAAATGTTGATGGTCTGGGTTTTTCTTTCCTTGGATGTTGATTCATGTGATGGCTCTTATCAAAACTTGTGTGGCTCTTCCCCCTAAAAGAGCCTCTGGTGACACAGGAACAGCTTTAAAAACTTGGAACACAGCCTTGGAAAGAGGGGAAATTACTGATATTGGGGACTTATTGGGAAAAACTTCCTCCCTGAAAATGTTATTAAGGCTTGGAGCAGACTGCCCAGGGGAGTGGTGGAGTCACCATCCCTGGAGGAATTCTGAAAATGTTAGGATGTGGTCCTTGGGGACACAGTTTGTGCTGGGACTTCCTGATCTTAAAGGTCTTTTCCAGCCTAAATATTTCCATGACTCCCTAAGTTTTGAGTTTCAGAATTCTGCAGCATCACTGTTTACTGGCCGAGATAATTGGAGCAATAAATATGAGAAACCTCATAAACCGTGCTCTGAAATACAGAAGATGTTTGATGTGGGACAGGCAGTTTAATCCATGGAATGGGAGCAATTAAAAGCTTTCAGAACCTTCTTCTGTGCCATGGCTCAGTCGATATTATTGAAAACCAAAAAGCAGAATTACCCAACACAGAAATATAAAAAACCCAAAGATACTTTTTGTTCAGCTTGAAAAAACCATTTAATCCAAAAGAAACAGGATTTTGAGGCTGGTTTTTTGGCAGGCCAATCCATATTTCTGAGTGCAGGTGCTTTCTTTTGACAGGTTTTAGTTAACAGCTGTTAAAGGGAAAGATTGAGTTGTTAATGTGGTAGGTGCACAGGGAGGTGTTCCCTGGATGTGACAAAAGTCCTGCAGACACCAAGTGTAGTAAAATATCAAGTTAATGTGGGATGTGGGGCTGTAGTCCAGTTGGAATGGAACTCTGACCATGAGGTGAACTTGAATTTTTTCATTTATTTTTAACACAAATATTAGAAATTGAAACCAACATGAAAACAAGGATCTCTCTCTCCCCCTATTACATGATTTTCTTTGAGGTGATTTAGAGGACAGATCAATACTGCAGCTTTTTGTCGCCACAGCAATTTTTGTCGATTGATAAATAGTCTGATATTTTCAAATTTAAAAGGTGGATAGTGGAAGGTGTCCCTGACCCTGGTAGGGGTGGCATGAGGTGATTCTTTAGTCTCTCTTTAACACAAAAAAAATTCTAGATGTCTCTGCCTGCTCTTTCTCTGCCAACCTAGGCTAAGTCTTAGTACTCAAATTTTTAAAATCAAAACTAAAACTTTGATTACAGGGCTAAATACCCTCTTGTCTGATGTTTATTATATGTTATTACCTCAAACCAATAAAGGAATATCATCATTAACTTTATTTAATGGTCGCCACCAACTGCAAGCTCACTGAATTATAACCGCAAGGCGAGTGCACGTAGTTAGAGTGATTATTTATCAGCCAGAGGTTGATGGCTTTAATAGGGCAGTAATCTCCTAATGAATGCACTTTAATTGTCTATATGGAGAGGCTGTGGAATTGTTA